TGTGATTAACTATTGAAAGTAAAAGGATAAAGAAAAGGCTAAGTTTAAAAAAGAAATGCTTATTCAGTTCAAACTGGAACACTGTTTAGTCATTGGATCATATCTGGAGCTGTAGATTTTAGATTTTATTTTGGTTTATATAGATAGAAAACTAAGACATAGGCTTAAAACATCTATGAAGAGTCCAAAACTCAATTATGTTATGTGGAAGTCCAAATCTTAGTATTAAAAGAGAAGTTTAAATCTATCATACAGCCCAGACACTGTTTAATGTTCAGCCCATATCCCGAGTTCTAAAAATCCAAATATACCGATTCTTTTTTGTTAGAAAGCTGAGACAATTTCCCAGAACTTTCATGGGGAATATCTGTTCAAATTCTGATGTTATCAATGACGTTTTATTTAGACAAAAAGATAAGGATTGTCACAAAGTCAAGAGGTAGCCACCTACTCAACAATTAGTCATCAAATTAATAGTTCTGAATTTTAGCCTATAAAATAAGCTATTTTCCATATATTTAGGTATCTTAGTTTTCAAATCAAAATCATGTTCTTGCTCTCTTTCTTTATATTTTTGTAATGCTTAAGTTTTGCTTTCATTAATTTCTTGTTTATGTCTTTGATTTCCTTTACTTATATAACAATATTTTCCTCTTGTTTATTTATATTTCTCTTTTTCATTATGTTTAACTAAGTTTATTATGTTTATGTGAAAATGTTTCACTAATGGTGTTAGGATAAGTATAATATAAACTCAATATGGACTTTAATGATTATATCTTAAACAATTTGCTATTAACATGTCTTATCATTTTTATCTTATTAATTTTTAATACAATGCTTGTTAAACGGTTAATCTAGATTTGTATTGTATAAAACTTGGTATAATAAATGTTTGATCCTTCATAAGCAACTGTATGATATAACCGACACCTGTGCTATGAAATGAACTTGATTTATTATTAACATAAATTAGTATTATGAATTCCTGATAATATTTAAAAGTATTGATGTTACTTAAATAAGATAATTAATATGATCATGTTAATAATTTATAATGAGCTATTAATAACAAATCATTTGATTGAAACCTTCTTTGTGTGTGGTTTCTTGTTGAGTAATAAAAAGAGTTTATATTATACTTATTTGAAATACCATTAGTGGATCCTCTAACATTGACAACTGTTTTTATTATTGATCTTCACATTAATCTAACATTTTAAAGTCCTCTTTAACTCACCACCACCACCAACACTATCATCATCATTATTTATAATTTATATAGTTAACCTCTTTATGGTTCAACCCGGTCTTGACAGATTATTTATTATTTTGACACTCCTATAATTGGGAGAAATCATCAATTTTTTGATCGTGTCACATATCATTTGATGGAATACATGTAGATCCAAGGAAGGTGGAAGGGGTATTGAAGTGGAAAAAACCCATAAATGTCATGAAGATTCATAGTTTTCTTGGGCTTGTTGGGTAACAAAGGAGGTTTATCAAAGGGTTTTCAACAATAACAACCTCTCTGACTTGATTAACCTAGAAAGTATTAAGGTGAGAATGGTTAGAAGAGTGTGAAGAAATGATTTATAAGCTGAAAAAGATGCTTACAAATACTCATGTATTGACACTTCCCTTCGAGTTAGAAGGCTTTATAGTATATAATAATGCTTTAAAAAAGGGGTTAGGTTATATGTTGATGCAACATGAAAATGTGATAGTCTATGCTTCATGGCAATTAAAAACTTACGAGGTCAATTATCTTGTCCATGATCTAAAGCTGACAGCTGTGGTATTTGATTTGAGAGTGTGAAGACACTACTTATATGGATCGCAAGTCTAAATCTTCACGGATTATAAGAGTTTGAAGTATTTGATATCGCAAAAAGAGTTAAATATGTGGCTAAAATGATGGATAAAGCTGATTAAATATTATGATTGTGTGAAGGACAATCACCCAAGGAAGGCCAATGTTGCACAAATGCTTTTCGACGCAAGGAAAATATATTAATTGGTGAATTGAATGCTTAGGATATCAGAGAAGTAATATAATTCAAGAAATTTGATGCATAATTAAGAATTGAAATTAAAATGACTGGTCCAGTTAATAAGTTGGATAGATTGTATGTAAACAAAGTGGTCAGATTACATGGAGTACCTGTATCTATTTTATCTGATCGTGATCCTAGATTTACTTTCCGTATCTAGCCTAATATTTAGTATGCCTTGAGGATAGAATTGAAATTAAGTACAACTTTTCATCCCTAGATAGATGATCATTTTAAAAGGATTATACATATTCTAAAAGATTTATTAAAGGATGTGTGATGGAATTTAGAGGAAACTTTCACTTATAATAATAACAATCAAGCAATGATAAGGATAACTCCGTATGAAGCATTGCATGGACGAAAATGTTGAACTCTTGTATGTTAGGAAAAGGTGAGGGATACAAAGTTAATGGGATTGAAATTAGTGTAAATCACCACTGAAAAGGTGAAGGTTATCAGAGAAAGAATGAAAGCAGCTCAAGTTAGACAAAAAAATTATACTAATAATAAGAGAAGGCCTTTTGAATTTGAAGTAGCGAATCAAGTGTTTCTAAAGGTTGTGTCTTGGAAGAACATCATGTGATTTGTCATAAAGAAAAAGCTAACGCTTGAGATACATATGACCTTTAAAAGTAATTCATATAGTAGGCTCATTCACATACAAACTAGCATTGCCTTGTATTTGGAAAGAATACACAATATGTTCCATGTATCATTGCTTTAAAAAGCAGAAATAGACCTCATATATTTTCACAAGTCTCCTTAAAGATTAAAGAGGACTTGACTTTGGAAGTGAAACCTGTAAACATTCTAAACTGAGGTGAAAAAAAAATTAGAAATAAAAAGATTCTCATGAGAAGGTATTATGGAAGAGCTCCCAAATTGAAGAAGAAACTTGAGAAAGGGAATAAAAAATGAGGAAAAAGCATCCCTAATTATTTTTAGATGCAGGTACGAGGTCTAATTTCAAGGATGAAATTTTTTGTTAGAGAAAGAGAATGCAAAACCTTAGTTAAAATATTGCAATATTAGTAAAATGCTGTGAACTTAGCCTGTTGATCAAAAGAAACTAATAATAACGTATGAATATTAAATGATTAGAGATAAAGATTTATGAATTTAAATATTAAAGTATGGTGAGATTTAAAAATAAACCGAAAAGGGATACCTAATAAAACTAGAAAAATAAAATAAAAATATAGTTGAACTAAAGAATAAGGGTAGGATTGTAATTATGAGTATAAAAAATATAAATAGAAACTTGGCTTCCAAACGAAGTAGGCATGAAAAAAAGAGAGTATATTGTTAATTGAATGAATTGAAGAAAATCCATCTCTAGATTTTTTTAATTTTTTTTTAGTTATTGTTGATATTTTTATTTATTTATATAGATTGTTATCAATTTATTTAATTATATATTCACATAAATTTTTTGATTTATACTTATGATTTTTTTTATGTAAAAAAAACATTATAACCCGCAATGGAGCACGGATTAAATAGCTAGTGTGTTTGTGTTTAAAGTTTGTATATAATTTTATTATTTAATATACATATACAAACTTTAAACACAAACACATATACACAAACTTTATATTTTTTTTATTTATATAGATTATTATCAATTTATTTAATCATATATTTACATAATTTTTTTGATTTATACTTATAAATATTTTTATGTAAAAAAAAATATTATAACCCGTGACGGGAGCACGGATTAAATAGCTAGTGTGTTTGTGTTTAAAGTTTGTATATGTATATTAAATAATAAAATTATATATATATATATATATATACACCCATAGGTTAAGATAACTATTTCAAAAATTCTTACTCATCAAAATAAAGTAAGAATCTATCAACTTTAAATTAAATTTTCATCCTTGTTATGATCTCATCATGCTTTTAGTCTGATTTGAGATAAGATAGGATATGTTAGCTGTATTTTACTGAAATTTTAAGATTTGGATGTGAGATTACAATAATGTGAGACTAGGCATCCTATGTGAGATTAAAATTTCAATGTGAAGCTTTCTGAAATTCGCCTTTTTTCTCCACAAGTACAATTAAGTAAAGGGTTCTTTGGTATCGGCACACGATTCAAATTTATTTGGTGTTGTAATAATTATTTTTTAAATATTTTTTATTTAAAAATATATTAAAATAATATTTTTATTTTATTTTTTAAAATTCATTTTTAATACTAGCACTTCCAAATAATCTAAATAAATAAAAAAATTAATTTGAAATAAAAAAAAAATCATTTTTTTCTTTTAAAAATGCTTTTAAAACACAAACAACCTATCATCCACTGTTTCTTCTAAAATTCATGATTAGGATAGAAATTGAATAAATAAAGATACAAAAAACCCAATTGATAATGAATGATGAAACAATGGTGGTTTCAAGAAGTTACATAAAGAACGCACGATGAATGATTGCAAGAGGTTGTCATATAACAAATGATTTGGGGCAGATTTGTTCAACTTGAAATTGATTTATCATGAAAACAACCCATCCAAAATTAGCATTGCCTGTTGTCCCCTTCTCGTTTCTAACCAACCATTCCTCATCGGAAATAAATAAATAAATAAACTGAGAAATGATCCAACGAAACTGTTCGTGTTGAATTCCATACCCAGAAAATTAGCAACAGCAAACATCACCCTCAAAATTCAATTGGGCAAACGATGAATTAGCGGACTCCAAATCCAGAAAACTAGTCCCAAAATCCTGACCCCTATTGGGCACCATGTCTCATATCATAGGGCAAGCAAGAAATTAGAGCAACTTTTAACCTTCTAGTGAGAATTGAGAAGAAAGCAAAGCTATGTTCAGACTTGTTTTTAAATATGAAAACAAAAGACTTCCATGACAGCTTCAACGCTTAACCAGTAATGTTTTTGTATTCCAGCGAAAAAGAAACAAAAAGAAAAGGAAAAACCTGCCATCAAACTCATCAAGCTTCATTGCATTTCTGTTTTCATGAGCTTGATGTGCCTAACCAACAAATGAAAAATGAAAAAAACACTAATATATCAAGTAACAAAACCATACGAGCATCACATCGATGGAGTGGAAGACATTAAACTTCATACATTTACGTAGAAAAATTATGTGCTGCACATCTGAGACAAGAAATTTATTCTTCAAAGTTGAAGGCTATGGACCAGCAACTTGAGATTCAGACATTTGGAACAAAAAAGAATGACAAAACAAAATATACTCTTGACGATGTCCATAACACAATGGCAGAGGCATAGGACGTGATTTATTCTTCCACAACAACACCGATCTCACCTTTTTCCAGCAAGTCATAAAATGATCTCACTTTCCTCTGCTCGTTCCAGTGATGCATTTTCCAAAGACCACCAGCAGCCAAGCCAAGTGCAATCCCAATACAAATCTCCTTGACAACACTTGGTCCTTTTAAGGTCACATGAGCAACCCTACCGCCAGCCATTTCACTTTTCTGGTAACCTGCAAGCAACATTTTCTTTATTTTTAGCACCCACAAAAGAATTCAGGAAAAAATAGAAACATGTACAGTTGCAATAGGCCAAAAAAGAAAATCCCTCAATAGTTATATCTATACATAGACTAAAACGGCTCCATTTCCCTTCGCAAAAGAATAAGTATAATTGGCTGGCTACTCACTACCAAGACAATATACGAACTCTGTCCTTTTAGGAATAAAAATACAAGAAAAAAAAAAGGGATCAGAACAAGGCAAAGCAAAAATAAGTAATGCAGCCTGTAAACCAAATTACAAATTTAAACAATTCATAATCCGATCATTCACTTGTCATTTAACCCATCCTCATCATCATCATCAAACAGATTAGTATCAGAGATCGCCTTTGACACGATCTTGTATAAGTTGCACAGAAAATCTTCAATTTGTTATAAGTTCACCGTCCCGCCCCATTTTCATGTCAGCAAAACTTGACATGAGTGGACAGACAAATTTCAACTTGCACACAATAAAAAGATATCGCGTGAAATTAGAAAAAAAGAAGACGATGGAACCCTATTTAAAATGATACAGTAGTCAACAGAGGTGAAGAGTTCGTCCCAAGATAGATATAAATCAAGCAAGAGCGAGGGAGGAAGAGGCTAGGGTTTGCTGACCTTAACTTAAATGAACAGCGCTGAAGCTGATTACGGAGGTTCCACAGAAACGAGAGCCAAATGATGTTTGTGAATCTTCTCCGATACCGAGGGCTGTTTGACAGGGCAGGGAATAGCTCTTTTTCTTAAACCCGGCCCGGGGTTGCCTGGTTAATGGGTCGGGTTCCAAATCACACAAATTGACTAGATTTAATTTGAGTTAATTATATATTTTTTTAATTTTAATATTTTACATGAAAGAAATAAAAAATATTTTATATAGATATATGCCATATATAATTATTCTAAATAAAAAAAATTAAGTGACATTAAAAATTAAAATAATAATCTATTTGAATGGAGGATATATATATATAGCTGTCGCACGTGGAAAAGTTAAAAAAATCTTTGCTAGTAATCATGGATGAGGATGGTATTAAATGTTAGTATGATAACCCTTTCGTTACCCGGATCCCTTCATGATTAAAAAGTGGTAATGGTTTGTAACTCGGTGAATGAACACATAATGGGTTCAAGGATGAAACGGCGGTCTTGTATGTAGGAGAAGTTTAAGAGGATGAAGGTAAAGACTTGTTTTCTTTTCCTGTTAGTAGTGGTAGTTTTCTCTTTTCCATAAGACACTTCCTCTCTAAAATTTGCCCCAACAACATCCTTAGTTTAAAAATGTAGCTCGCTAGACTAGAGTTAACAACCTACATATACAATTAGAGGTGTGCAGAAAAACTAGAAAACTGAATAAATCAAGAAAACCAAGAAAAAATTAATTGAATAAACTAAATGGAGAAAAAACCGATTAAACTGATTAGAATAGTTAGAAAAAAATCCCGGTTCAGTTCGGTTTTGTAATGCAGGAACCGGTTAACTCGAACCGAACGAAACTAGTTCAAAAAAAGACACTATAAATAGAAAAAATTATCCCCTTCCTCCCGGTTTAGTTTGGTTTTGTAATGCAGGAACCGGTTAACTCAGACCGGACCAAACTAGTTCAAAAAAAGGCACTATAAATAGAAAAAATTATCCCCTTCCCCCTCAGTAACCCTAGCTGTAGCCCCCTCTCCCTCTCTTCTTTCTCTCCCTCTCCCTCCCCCTCCCCCTAAACTTATAAGGGTTGCTTCTTGTAGCCCCCTCTCCCTCCCCCTAAACTTATAAGGGTTGCTTCAAACATGGATCCATATGTTGTGACTTACATGATTGCAGAGACCACCATCCCCGGTAAGCAATGAGAACCCCAACCAAGACCAAATATGAAATGTTATTGTTAGTCTTTCTAATGAACTATGGGAAGATTTGTTTGTGTGAGTAGGATGGATATCTTTCAATTTGTTTCCCCTTTACATTTGAGACAATCTGGTGGTGATATAATTGCTTTGCTTGCTTGCTTGCTTCATAATTCTGCATTTTGTGTTGAATAATGTAAGGCTCAATTTTAATGAGATTTCCAGTGCTTGGAAATTTAGGGTTTTCATTTATAGCAGAGTTTTGGATTTGGGATGAAATCAGTGGTGTAGATTTTTTGCTTTTAATTTGTTTGCACAATGCAGGGAAAACAATAGTTGTGAAAAGGCATCTTACTGGCGAGTTCAAGGAGAAATATGAGCATATAGGTTTTCTTGGTTTTTTGAAATCAAGAACCGGACTGGACCAAAACCGGTCGGTTTGACTCGGTTTTGGTTTGGTTTTGGTTTTTTTCAAAAAGAAAAAAACTGGTTTAGTTGTTTTTTATAATTAAAAACCGAACCGAACCGAAAATAATAACCCTTAGATACAACTTGAGGCTCCCTTGCTATAATACTTCAAGGCTGGCAAAAAAAATTAAAAAATAAATTAAATTAAGAAAATAAAAAATAATTATAAATTAAATTATAAAAAAAAGTGAAACTGATTAAAATTTTAAAAAAACTAATTGGTTTGGTTCGGTTTCGGTTTTATAAGCTTGAAATCAAAAAAATCAAACCAAAACTAAAAAAACCTAGAAAAAAATCGAGCAAAACTAGAAAAACCAAGCCAAAACTGAAAAAACTGAGTCAAATCTGTTTAAATCGATTTTTCCTAAAAAATCGAACCAAACTGTTTGAACTAGCTTCATTTTATTTTAAAAAATTTGGTTTGATTTTTTTATAAAAACCGAATCGAAAATGATCACTCCTACTTTAAAAACTATCTTTTAACACTAGACTTTTCTTAGCTTCAATGGTCAAAGAATTATAAATATTTATGTATATACTTTATAACTAAACCATTGGTTATGCATGCTATTAACTTTATTTATATAAACATATTTATTTTTTAATAAAGGCTTTATTTATTTTTAATATTTATCAAATATTTGATTAATGAATTTAAAACAAAAATAAAATTATTGGGACACAAATATTTTACAAACAAAATTATAAAATATATATAGGATTTATATTTCATATTTCATTATATTTCATCCACATATTAGTTCTTAAAAAACAAAGAATTTTGCTTATGGCCTAAGTTCTTAAAAAAAAAAAAACTATTTTTGCATATCTTTGCATTGTAGAAAAAGAAACCTTTGTTTTGAAAAGAAATTCTATATATTTTAGCATTTTTTATTTATCCTAGAGTTTTACAAAAGATGAAAAAACAAAAGTATTTTGCTTGGATACTTGGACTTTATAACAAGTTTATAAAGTTCATTAGAACTTGATATAAATTAAAAGACTCATTAGATTGACATACCCAAACTTTAAAAATAAAACTCAACCTTGATTTTTACCAAAATAAAATATCTTGATGTTTATTTCTATTGTTTTGAGTTAATGGAATCATAAAAAGCTATTACTTAAAGCATAAAAAATAATAAGAATAGTTTTTCCAAATAAAAATTTTCAATTCAAATAAAATTTTCAAGAATAGAGAAAATATATTTTCATTGATATAAGAATTAGAAACACCGACTTTAGTAATATTCACCGATGCTAAAATTGAGAATACCTTTTGGATTATAATTAACTAATGCTAGACTTATGAATATTAGCACTTGGATTAGCAATAAATTTAACCCTAATATTCATTAATACTAGAGTAAGAAACATTAGACCTCTTGCATGTAGTACTTACCAATGCTAGATTTGAAAGTATTTCTTAGTTGAATATTTACTAGTGCTAGAGTTAGTAATATTATAAATAAAAATAGTATAGCATAATAAACCCTGAGCAATTTAGAACAAGACTAATAATGCAACCTACCTTAGGTATAAAGCTTTAAGTGTGATAATATCTTTTATATTGAGCAACCAGTCCTTTACCATGAAATCTTTATACAAAAGTTTGGATTTTTTAGAAACCATAATACTAGATAGTAACTCTGTAGATAAGAACTTTACATCATCAAAAGAACATGATGTCAGGTATGCATTCTTTCCTCTCTTTTTTAAAGGTCATCATAACATCAAGTAGTGATATAAGTAAAAAAAACAAAAAAAAAAAAAAACCGTAGCCATCCAAACATAAGTAAAAAAAACAAAAAAAAAAACTGTAGCCATCCAAATTTCTCCCTTCGAAAAAAACTTCTCTCTATAAATTCACCTTATCTTCCACTCATCTCTAGCAACGACAAAATATTTCTCCCTTCAAAAAAAACTTCTCTCTATAAATTCACCTTGTCTTCCACTCATCTCTAGCAACGACAAAATCCACCTTACTATTTTAGTAACATAGCAACAACCCCACCATATTTTAACATCTTACTTTTCTTTTTTGTAATCCAAGCCTTTTTGTTCCTTGTCTAACCAAACCAGCCACCATGACAAAGCCCATCTTTTAGTTAATCACCTCTTTTATCAATTTAGTCTTCCAACCATCAAAGAACCCCTCACATCATGCCATATTGATAAAGCCATCAAAAGTAACAACCAAAGATAGTAAGATAGAGAAAACTGATAAAAAAAGAGAAGTTGATCTTCTCTTGACTCGAACTATAGCACCGGTGTGCCTCATTGCTAGTATAGCAAGAAATAGGAAGAGGAGGTGCACTTTATCTAGTTGGTCTCATGCATCAACTTTTATTAACAAATCAACATGTGTCTTTCATGCACCATCATTTTTCAATGCATTTCTAGTAGCTTTTAGAAGATTGTTGTACCTTTTAAAGGCCATTCTTAATTCTAAAATGAATATTTATGTGTTTTGAATGGTTTAATGTATTGTTGATTGTTATGAACTTTAATTTTTCAGGATCGTGGACTGTAATATTTTAGTGTAAGTTTGGTATATTTTAGCTTTGTATATATGATGATTGTTGATTTATTACGCATATAATATTATGGTCTATAAAGTCGACCAAATATAAATGAACCATTTAGTCGTTATTCAAGGATGTTGGCATATGGAAGACAAAACTCCTTGATTTGTGATTCGATTTCACTATATTCAAAGTTATTTAAAATATATTATAATTTTTATCATAATTTCATTTTGTAATGTCAATATTTATTATTTATGAATCCAACCTAGGATAAATGAATCGTCTAATTATTATTCAGGGATGTTGACACACAAATAATAAGAGTTATTATTAATACATGACTCGAATAAAATTACAATTCTTTTTATAATTAATATATATTAAATGTTGAGTTTTATTTATTGATATTTTAATTTAACATTAATGTTTTTATTAATGTTAGGTTGACTTTATACTATAGATGGGCTGAAAAGCTTATTAATGTCAGGTTGAATATATGTGCTTCATAACATTAATGAAGAAAATGAAGATAAATCTATATGTCTTTGTGGTACAATATTTGTCACATTATACTTAAAACTTTTGGAGAGAGGTAAACTTTTGATGATGTTGTGGAGCTAGATGCAATCATGTCATTGATAAGCTCGGATCATCCAATAAATAACAAAGACATAGATAGATAAATGAGTTACGTTGATATATTTTAGAATTCTAGTTACTAGAATGTTATATTATTTAAGATTCATTTTGCATGTGTATGTATGTGTGTGTGTGTATATTCTATTTGCATTCGTGAGGTTACTTGTGATTATAAAATATGAGAATTTGTTGAGTTTTGTTATTGTTGTTCTTTGCATATTTCTTTTTAAGTGGGAAAATTTTTA